TACTACAATAGAATTTTCCTTAATGATCATTTGTCGTCCAGTTTCCATGTGTGATAGTCTTGTGTTGTCCATATCAGGTAAGTTGATAGTGGTGGCATGTTGGGCAGCTTGTAGATCACCAAAAATAGCGATGATTTTCATCTCTTCATTTTTCCCTTCACTATGTACTGTCAAGAGACCTTCTGAAAAGTTGAATACCATGATGATATGTTCGATTTTTTGGTGGATTGTTTTGCCTTTGACTAGGTTAGCTGGGATTCCAACTTTGCGTCTTTCTCTGCCATATCTAATTGACCTGTCGAAGGAAGAGCTGGGTCTTGGTTTTCCATTGTACGGGGAGGTTTCTTTGTTTTTCCCCTTTCTTACTGTAAACCATGTGGTTTCTGGGTCCTCCCGGTCTTCTGTACCCATTTCCTCATCTGTATCATCTATTCTTGCCATTTTACTTCTCGAGGTATTGGATCCTTCAGCTTGGGTTGGTTGGTTGTGAGTTTCTTGTGCATCTTCCTGCTCTACTAAGTCGCTCCATGAGAAAGATATGGTATTTGGTTCTGCGAGTTCACTAGTTGGGTTGAGAGCATTTTGCTGTGTCGTTGGCTGGGATGGTTCAGTTTGTTGTTTGTTTATTGCTTGCTGAGTGGTTTGGGACTTGTTTGTCTCTAGGTTGGACTTCTTCGTGTATGGTTGGGTTCTCCATGGAGCATTGTCTTTACTTGTTCTTTTCTCATACCTTATCGTGCGTTCTGTCCTTGGTGGGACATTGGTTGTGTTCTTAGAGTTTCCACTGCGAAAAGACATCTTTCCTTGATGTTTTTCCAAAAATTTCCAAAAAAGAAAATTTTTAAGATTTGGGATGGTTACGGGAAAGAGTTTTTTTTTTTTTTTTTTTTTTTGAGAGAAATGTCTTCTTTAAATACATAATTAAGTTATATGATATTTGAGAATATAAACTAAGATAAATAATAGTAATAATTATATTATTAGTTTTACTGGATTATTAAGCTATATTACTTTAAACAGAACTCAACTATCCTTCAAAAATAATAGTTCCATGTGATAAGCTAGGATTATAAAATATTCTAGAATACTTTATACTAAGTTTGCTAATGGCAAAATCAACTATTAATATTCTAGAAGTGTTCTGAAAAATCTTTATTTTCAGGTGACCAAAAGGATCGTGATATGTTGTTCTGAGATACTAGGATCATTCTAGGTACTAGGGAGATCATATGCCAAAATTTTATAGTTCAACAATATGATATCTTACAGTTTTTTTCATTTATAAAATTTTTCATATCTTTGGATCCAAATATTGTAAAAATATTCCCTAATTTCTTGTTTGATTCCTTTATGCATTTTTGGTTTTGTTGTTTGTTCAGTATATATCTGGCCATTAAATTATATGTTTCTTTGAATATAACTCCTTTAATAGTACATTTGAGATAATAAGTATACTTCAAGAAGTTGTCTCGTAAGTAGCTGTTGATTTATACTTCTGTGTTTTTTATCTTACTATGTTATCTAACTTTGTTGATAATTGTGTTTCTTATGTATTTTTCTGTTCTCTATCATTGGCCTTGACTTATAAATGGATGTGTATTTGTTTTTTTGGATTTGCAGATTATACATATCATCTTTGTACAGTTTCAAAAGTCTCTAATAGAGTTTAGCTTTTTGTTGAAAGTTCTTCGTTCCATAGACATAAATTAAATCTCCTTTGTTGTTGATCTATTCCATTAGTTTGTTGTTCACTCAATCTAGTTAGTTGCAGATTTGATATTGTTGTGAGCGAGTATATATGTTTAATGATTCGATCACTGAATTCGATTCTTGTTCTATTCAATAGTCTCTATCTGACTAGGTGTATTGTCTTTATTAGTTTTTTGGCCATAGTTTTGATGAAAACTTTGAATATATTGTTGTTCCATTGGGGTAATAGTGTGAATTGTAAATTTTTTGTGAGTTGAGTATAGATTGTTTTATATCCTGGTATCATACCATAGTATATATCTATTTTGGCTAGTTTGTTTGCTTATTCATTGTACTTGTTGCCTATATAAACCTTGGCTTTAATGAAGTTAATTTTCAAATAATTGGTTGTGAAAATATCTTTGAGTGGTTAAAGAATTTTCAAGTTTTTCTGCTTTCTAAGGTTGTGTATATGGTTTGTTCTTATTGCTTTATAGATGCTATTAATTGCAGCCTGGCTATCTGTATGAATATTGACTCTGCTATATGAGAAGAGTATGTTAATAACTATGAGTATGACTATTAATTTTGCTCTAGTGATAAGGAAAAATTATCTATTTGTCCTTGGAATTGGAATTCTTAATTGTTCCTAATTATTATTATCCATTTGAAGCCCATGTAGTATTGATTGCAGTGACATTACATGGATCCATCCAAATATATCACAAAGTTGATTTCATTTTGTATTTGCTCTGAGATTGTAGTTAATTCCTCCAGGATGGGAGGTGTTGCAGCCAGTATTTTCTTAATCTGTTTTGATATCTTGTTCTCAAGAGGTACTTGTACTTCTACATTGTAACTTATTGGTCTGTATTCCTATTCTGCAAGTATGGTTGAAATTGAGTTTGATAAAACTCTACTTCTCAATATATTATTTTCTTTCATGATATTTGATGTATTAAGATTTTACTATATTGTACTGAAATTGTTATTGTAATCTACCTACTAGCTATGAAGGTACACGTGGAGTTGAATTGAGTCTGTTAATTTAAATTGCGTCCTATGCATTTGTTTAGGGGGGATTCACCAGGTACCTGTATGTAATGCCTATATGCTGTTGAGTTGTTATCTACCTTCCTTTGTTTCCTCCCAATAATTAGTTCTGTATTCTTTTTCATTACTATCCAATATGGTTTTGCTGTCTATATATTTGTTATTGGTATGTATTATTGAAAGCAATTGATTTTTCCTTGTTGTTTATCAGTCATCCATGTCTGCAGTTTATGTTGTAATGTGAAGAACCATAATAGAGTGGGACCTGGTATTGATTTTTGATGGATTCTTATAATTTGATACCAGTATAGCAGTTTCTCACTTTTACTGTCAAGAAGTTGACCTATGAAGAGAATGTTGTATTTCTTTAAGTTGAAGTGGATCCTTCTGTAGAATTCAGGATCAGTTATTTTTTCGATAGTAGTATCTACCCTTTTTATGGCCTTGAAGTTGCCTTCTTAGACTTTGTGGAATGTAAAGCCATATGTTCGGAACATTCAAATTATATCATATATGAGATTTCTTCCTGGTTCTAAAAGAAGAGCTTGTATAGTATATGGTTATATATTTCTTTGGTTGACTCAAACATGTTTTGTATTGATTGTAGTCACTATTATACTATGTCTCCTGTAATGTTATTTTTATTCACTCTGGTGCACCAGTTATTGGCATGTAGTTATACTTGTCTATCCCATATATATGCATTATATTATATTTATGTTTGTTGTTGAACATACTATTTAATATTGTATTGGCAAGTCCTATTTTATGTTTGAATGTCATTGTCAGTTTGCTTATTAGCTAATTGCAGGTTTGTCTGATTAGAACTATATTATTGCATAAATATTCTATACTAGGCATCAAGATATGATTGCTTATGTATTGTGCTTTTTTGTCAGAGGTCCTTTTTATTCTGATTAATATGCATGTATAAACCACTTTCTGTTTTATTAAAAATTTTTGATAGTCTTTGCATCCTGAACTATCATACTATATTTCCTAGAATTCTGATTGATGTGTTGGGGTATTCTTCTATTTTCTGGTTGTTTATTAGTACTTCTTGTTCCAAGTCTGCCTTTATGCTATTGATGATAATCAATTGTAACTTATTGTGATTTATTTTGATGTCGTTGATATAATAGAACTCCTCTGCTGTATGGAAAATTTTTTGTAGATCTGTTCTGTTGTTCATTGTCTATGTTGTGTTATCCATGTATACATTAACTGTTATGTTAGTAGTCCTCTTTTCCCATCCTGATTTTAGTTCTATGCATGTTCTAGAGCTGATTATGTATTCTTTATGTTATTGACTAATCATAGATAGTAGCGGGTCATAGAAAATATGCCATAATAATGGAAATATTGTATTACCTTGATCTATTCCATCTTTTATTTGATACTTGTCTGTCAACCCATGGCATATTATGACTGTATTGTGGTGATCTTGGAAAATACTGAGCAAAATCTTTATTATTGTATCTGGTACCTTGATCCTTTGAAGAACCAATTGTAACATTTCTAAATTAATGGAATTGTATGCTTTTGACATATCTTGACTCAAGATCCAGGCTTGTTGTTTAGTTTTTTTCATATGTTCAATGATGTTGCTGATTATATGAATTGGATCTTGAGTACTACTGCCTGGAAGTGCAGCTCAGTTCAGCTCAAACAATATTCCTTTATTGATCAGCCATTTGACCAATCTATCTGTAATAATCTTGGTAAATATTTTTCTTCCTGTATCCAGTAAAGTGATTGGTCTAATGATGTCTAGATTGTGTGCCCAATCCTTGGGCTTGGGTTTAGGGTATATATGTCTCCTGTTCCATTCCTTGAATATAGTGCCTTATTGGATGATTATATTAAAAATCGTTCTGAGTTCTTCTCTTGCTTTGTTCTTGAAATGTTTGTATGCTGAATATAGTATCTGATTGGAGCATAGAGCTGACTTTGAGCTGTATTGTCTGATTGCTTGTACAAGTTTCTCTATTGTAATTTTTTCTACCATACCTTTGTAGTAATGCTACTTAATATATGGTTTGAGACTGTATTTGGATTGGCACTTGGAATGTCATTCTAGGTTTTGAATTTTTCTATGTGATGTCCAATTGAAAAAATGTTTCTTTACTTTGGTCTTAATTTTTGCTGGTTTTGTGATTATCTGCACTTCCTTTCCTTATCAAAAAATAAGTCTGTCTAATTGTATCTGTTTTCTAAATCTTTTCAGGATACTATTGATCATGGCATACTTGTTATTATCATACTGTTTTTATCTTATCTAAATCCTTCTTTTTATAGCAATGTTCTGTTTTCTGTAGGAAATAATCTTTGCAACTATTTTGTGTACCTTTATATTGCCTTGAATTACATTATACCATTCTTCAAGATATGTATCCAGATGTTCAGCTTCTAGTTTATCAAGTGTGGACATCAGGTCTGGAATGGATTTTTGTATGCTCACTAAAATCTGAAATGGCTTATATATTTTTTCTTCATTTTTATCTGTTAAGTATTGTTTTACTTGTATAAGGAGTTTCTGTAACTGTATTATGTGTGTTACTTTATCTATGTCTTTGGCTTGATATTTTTTTCTCCAGTGAGGTATCTTCTTTGGAATATATTTTTTAGCTGCTTTCTAGATAGTGTTGCTGAACTAGTTCCATCTGTGATCTAAGGATTGAGGACTTGTGCATTTTGTTTGTATGTTGCACTCAATATGTTTACTAAACTTTTCCTATTGCTAGATTGTGACAAGTTGTCAGTTGTATCTATAATTGTATTTATAATAGGTTGTCTATTTGGATATGTCAATATTCCATACTTCTATCTCTACTATCATTGTAATGTAATCGCTTAGAATTTATGCTGTAATAAGATCTTGGATGAAGACTGTTTTTGATTGCCATGTCACTTGCGAGCTCATCCATATTTGATCAATTCTATTGCTACTTCCTCCTCTATTTCAGGTGTATTTTCTTTTTGTAGGGTTGTACTATATGTTTTGTATATGTCTTCCAAATAATTATCCAGAAGAATTTGTATTTGTTTTTCTAAGTGATGATATTTTTTTATTGTTTTTGTTGTACTATACTTGTCAATTGCTGGATTGGGAACTCCATTCATGTCCCCTGATACCATAAGATGCCATCCTTTTTCTATCACTTCTTTGATCCATTTACTTAGAGTGTTGAGTACTATTTGTTTTTCTCCTTCCATGTCTTGTATGGAAAAGTATACACCAATTATTCTCATTTTTTCCTTGTATAGAAAGGCCAGATCAGTTGTGATGAGTCTTCCTGCAAGTGTTTTATAGTTATAAATTCTATATGCGATGTTCTTGTTAATCATTATATTTAGTCCTTATTCACTAGTTTGTACTTCTTTGTGAATCCATATAATTTAAAATTTCTTGTGTTGCCAGTGTTTTGATTGTTGATGTGAGCCATTTGTTTCTGTAGTAACTATAATATCCCAGTTTGTCGCATCACAAAAATTAATCCATATTTAGTGTTTGTGTATTTCTATTAGGCCTTGAATATTGAATGTTGCAACTTTTTATATTGGTTTAAATTCTCTATGTGTTGTTATAGTTGTTGTAGTATTGAATGTTGCACTGCTTATGTATGGATTGTGATTTAGGGTTGCTATTAAATTATTTGTTTCTTTCATTTGTTATTCTTCTATATTACAAGAGTTTGTTATTGGATTGTTTCTAGAGTTGCTTGATTCTTCAGTTAATATGATACTTTGGTTACTATCCATTATTGTCTATGTGGGAGAAAGGTATACTGCCTGAGATAGAATTGAGTATGGTATTATATACCTGGTTCATGTATTTGTCTAGTTTCTGCATGGATGACTGGATATGCTGTTGTTAAGTGTGTATATCTTGGGTGCTATTTTGTAGTGTTGTGTCTATTGCTGAGCCTTCTTCCATGTCAAGAGGGAGGTATCTTCATCCATTTGTTTGATATAGTCTTCATCATATGTTTCTAGATTGACTATGCATTCCTCTAAATTAACTATGTCTTCTTTTATTTCTTGGATATCTTGCTTGATAGTCTTAAAAATGTGAAGTACTTCTCCATTGTTGTTTGAAAAGGCTGATACTGTGTTTTATTTTTTTTCAATGATCTTGTACTGCTGCATAGGAGCCTAGTCTGACCTTTCTTTAATTGTTGTGTGTAGTTGCCCTTCACCTTATAGTTTCAGTCTATGCTGGCCTAAACCTATTGTATAGTTTGTCAAACTGATGGCTTGTTCTGTATTGTATTGGTTTCAGTGTGTTCTTCTTTCTTTGATTGGGTATTGCGCAACTAGGTGTGTTACACTTCCACAAATAGTGCATAGTTTTGTATCGATTGGTGTCCATTCTACTTGGATTTTTCTGAAAAGAATATTTTGTGTTGTTGCTGCTTCCAAGTCTTCTTAATTTTTGAAACCAATAATTGCAAACCACTTGCTCCTATATAATATGTACCTGGGAATATAATATGTCTTAGCTCCAGTTTGTTTGCAAATAAGTTTGAGGTCAAAGGCTATAGTATTAAGTGGAAGGTTTGTTAGTTTGACCATGATGCTTCCACATGCCTTCATTTGATCCATATTCTATTGTGCATCAAAAATTCTGACTGAGTCTAATCCTAAGAGAATACTCTATTTGGTAACTAGATCTTCTTTTACCTGTTTGTCTACATAAGTGATAACTGCTGATTGCCATATTTGTTGTGTGGACATGTCGATATTTGTGATCTCATCAAATTTGGTAAATGTTTGTTATACTTTTATGAATTTTGTGTCTAGGGAAATATCTACACTTTGATACTGTTTTCTTTATTTGGTCTAGAGGATGTGAAGGCCATATGTTCGAAATGAGCTCCATTTGTTTCAAGTAAGATAGTGTTGCATGCTTTGTCTGCAGTATGGTGATCATTGAAAATAGAAATAATATGCTTCTCTTCTCCTTTTCCCTTACTGTGAGTAGAAAGAAGGTCAGTAAGCATGTTCATACTCTTTGCGATATATGTAGTTTTTTGGTTGGTGATTCTTCCTGGAACTTCTGAGACTTTAATACCTGTTTTTAATCTTTCTCTTTCGAATCTTATTGTTGAATCAATCAACGACCTTGGCCTAGGTTTGTCAATTCTACCGACTGATGTGTTTTTGCGTGAGACTTCATGCTATTGCCTACTGACTTCAAGTTTTGTTTGATTGCTATTGCCTAATTCCTTTATTTCTATATCTGAGTCATCTATTTTTGCTACTGTGAGTAAGGCAGAAGAGTTCTTGCTTTGTTCAGTTTCTTGAATGTTTCTACTTCTATCACTATTATCATTTTGAATATCTTGTGTAATCGTTTCTTCCACTTGATCACTCCAAGTTGGTTGTTTCTAGTTAGTTTTTTTTTTCTGGTAATTTTTGAACCTGTTGTTGTAGTCTGGTTGATGTTCTGATTCCTTGGTTGTTCATTTCTAGTGGTTTACAGAAGAGTTTTTTTCTCTTTTTCTTTATTTTTTGGATTCGACTTTGATATCTCTATATGTGTTTCTTTGCGTAGCAATCTTGTGTTACCTTTTCCAGGGTGTTTTCATTGTAGTTAGGCTTGCCCTGAGTATATGGGCTTCTTCGATCTCTAGGAGAACTCATCGTTCTGTTCCCTTTTCTTCTTATTTTCCAAAATTGTCTAAAAAGAAAATTTTTAAGAAAAAAAAGATTTGTAAAAAAGAGTTTTGTTCTTAATTTTTAAATAACACCTAGTCTAATATAATTCTAAGTTTTTTATAGTTCAAGACTAAGCTTAGCATTTACTTCTTATTGGATTTAAGGTCATTACATCTATTTTTCAAAGCTTTCTTATTAGATTTTTAATATGAAGATTTTTTTTTCTTGCATATTATTCTAAGGATATATTCTATATTGATAATTTTTCTTAATTGCTCTAGAATTTCTTCTTATAATTTAAAAGATGATAATTTTTCATTGAGGAATTTATAAATTCCTTATAGATTTTAGATAACCTTTTCTATATTCTCTATATTCCTTATAGTTCTTAAATCTCAGTTAACTTGAATTTTTTTTAAAAAAAAATAAATCTTGTTGACTTTCTTATAGACTTCAAAATCTTTTTTTGAAATTACTGATCTTGTCTTGACTTCTTTTCATATATTGAAAGTAAATAAACTTTTTTTTTCTTAAGGTATTTGTATATATTCTTAATAATTATAGTTTCGAGTTCTTGAGAACTGTTTTCACCTTCTTGGATAGAAAGTTATATATAGATTTTTGAAAGCTTGCATTCTATTTAGAGTTTGAACTTCTATTATTATTATATAGTGGAATTTGCTAGATTTAATATTTTCTATCTTTTGTTCTGCATTACTCTTGGGCCTGGTTTTTGGACAGATTATTTGTTATAATATTATTAATTAAAAAGTATAGTTATTACCCAGTAGTGAACCTGTGGATCTATAGCACAGTGATAGTGCTCCCAGGTCACAATCACAAGGTCCAGAGTTCAATAACACACAAGGGCCATATGAGAAAAATAACCAGGATACACGAGAATGGAACTTCTGGCCTCCTTATTGATCGTCAAGCTGAAAAAGATCTACCGTAAGAATTGCATGAAGAAAGGCCTCTGGTCTGGTTACATGAATTACGCCCAGCCTAATCTTCCCTGAACTGGACAGGATACAAATCCAGGATCCCACTTTTAGGACTACAGTAATCGTCTGAACACAACACTAACCCCAAACTGTACCAGCAGACTCTGGGACCCTATTTTTAGAACTACGGCAATCATCTGAACATTCCCTATTCCAAAATTGTACCAGCAGACTCGGAAATCTAACTATCCTAATTTGGAATATCCCAATCTGGTGCTTGCTTAAATGAAGGACCTGTCAAACAGGACTTGTCTGTAATGTCGCAAGTGGTGACAAAGAAGAAAGAAATCCCTTCTGAGATTCAAGTAAAAAGTATCAGAGTATCTGGGTAATTAAAATAACCCTTGAGGATTTGTTATTAGTGTATAAGTTAGCATAGTAGTCCCTCATTAATAGAATTAGCTAATTATATCAACATCATCATTGATGACTGTTATCAATTATCTGGCCCCTAGTCAGGTGTGCCTACCTATAGGAGGGTTTCAAGCAGGTCTGCCTAGGACAAGCTGCGATAGGTTATTATTAATCTGCATATATATGTATGAGATGATTGATGTAATGCTTAAGATTTAATTATCAATAAAGAGCTTGCATCTAATACCAGTTGTGATTTAAAAAAAAAGTTATTACCCAGCAGTATCTTCATTGGAATATTTTTGAATTTATATATATTGCTTAGACTAATTTCTGGTGATATCCAGATATAGTCAATTCTATTATATGCTAAATTGTTTACTTATGTAAAGATAATATTTTCTTTTTCTTTTTAGAAATCTTGAATGTTTATATAATTCCAGTCTTCTAGAAAGTTAAAAAAGTCTATCTCAGCTTTTTGTACCTTGAGATTATTTTGTTAGTGAGTGGGAATCAATCCACTATTGGATTAATAATTACATTAAAATCATATATAATTATAATTTTTAAGTGATTTCTTTATCTAGAATTTTATTTTGAAACAGCTATTATAGCCATCTACTTTTAGTTTTTTTGAATAGTAGATATACTTGATAGATATAAAGTTTGTTTCTTGTTGATAAAACGTTAGCTCCTATTATAAAGTCTTTTATTCTTTTAATGGATTCTAGCTTGTTCTTATTATTTCTCTTAATAAAAAATTTTATTTTAGACTTTCTGGACTTTTCATTATTACAGTTATGAAAGAATTTGTATATTTGTTACAAGTTAAAAGCAAAATCTGCTATTTCTTTTATTAGCTTAGTTTCACTAATTCCTAGAATATATAATTCAAGTATTATATAAGTTTGTATAGCCTTTGTTGATTAAAATTAATATTAATATCTCTAATATTATATATTCCAATTGTAATAATATTATCTAATATAAAGTTGTCTATAGTATAATTATTATATAGTATCTATTTTTTGTCTATTTTTTCAATAGTGTTCTTTTTTATTGTACTGATAAAATTATCAAGTAGTGTGATATATGTTATATTAGAAGGGGTTGTATTGATATCTACTGTTGTCTTAATGATTATATATATTTTTTAATATGAACTTGATTCCTCTTATATATCAAATTCTCTTCTAGTATATCTTGATTGAATTATTACTACTATTAGAAGTAGTTGTTCCATTACTTCTTTTTTACTCTATTTTGATTGCCTGTTTTTTTCACAATTAGATTTATTCTATTGTTCAATCACTTGAGGTTGTCTAGAATCTAATAAATTGAATCTTAATAATTTTCCCTTTTTTTTTTTTTTTTTTTTTTTTTTTTTTAAACTGCCGAAACCTTGCTATTGAGTTTTTATTTATTTATTAATACAGGCTTATGTACACAAATTTAATTGCAAGTCTATATATTTATGAAAAGGAAAAAACACTATGACTCAGTATTCTATTACTATAAATCCTGTGACTTGCTGCAGTCCACCTTGGTGGGTACTAGCGTGTCAAGACTCCACTAGCACTGATATTGATTGAAAAGAAAAATAAAGGAAAGTAACTGTTGTTTAAGGTGTTTTCTGTTATAATATTTGTTAGTTCTATGTATAGATTCCCAAACCTGTCCTTAATATATTTTCCAAGATCTATTTGACTTTGTTTGGGCTCTGGGTCTGACTCAAAGAATTTG